TCTCTGGGGTCCCGCTGACCCCCCCCGTGCCCCCCCAGGCGCTGGAGCGGGACCTGAGGGTGTTCCTGGGCTCGCTGGGGGTCGGCGAGGTGCAGGCACAGGTGAACGAGGTGACGGGGACGCTGCGGCTCAGGGGGCACTGGGGGCCTGAGGTGCGGCAGTGGCTGCTCCAGAGGGGCTTCTAGAGACCCCCCAAACCTGCGGGGGACCCCCAAATCTGCCAGAGGAGCCCGAAATCTGCCAGGGGGAGCTGAAAATCTGCGAGGGATCTGCTGTGGATACACCAGGAGCATCCTGGAATGGACCCTGGATAGCGTAAACATCTGCTGGGGGCACCTCCAGATCCATGGGGGGAGCTTGGAATCCACCTGGGCACACCAAAATCTGTTTGGGGCACCTCCAGATCCACCTGGGCCTCCCAAAATTTGTTTGGGGCACCTCCAGATCCACCTGGGACACCCCAGAATCTGTTTGGGGCACATCCAGATCCATCTGGGCGCCCCGAGATCTGTTTGGGGCACCTCCAGATCCACCTGAAACACCCCAGAATGTGTTGGGAGCAGCTGAAAATCCACAAGGGGAGCTTGGAATCCACCTGGGCACCTCCAAATCCACCTGGAGCATCCCAAAATCTGCCTGGAGTCTGCAAAATCCCTCTGGAGAACCCCTAGGTCTGTTTGGGGTACCTCAGAATCCATGGCGGGGTCCTGGAATCCACCTGGGACACCCCAAAAATCCTCCCTGGGGGTCCCAAAAATCTGCTGCCCCCCCTTCCCAAATGTCAGAAACCCCAATAAAGGCCTCGGGTAACTCCTCACAGCCTCTTTATTTACAATAACCCCCCGAATTTTTGGGGAGGGGTCCCACCGTCTGTACAGGGGGGTGCAGTCCCCCCTCAGCTGTGGCCGTAGCCCCAGGGGCTCTGGTAGCCACAGGTGCCGTAGCTGTGCTGGGGAGGGGTCAAAAGGGGGGTGGGATCAGCCTGGGGACCCCCTGGAGACCCCAAATTCCCCCCCCAAAAAAAACCCACCCACCTGGTACCAGTAGGAGGGGTTGGGGTCCCCCCCGAGAAGTTGAGGGACCCCAGGAGCCCCGAGGTTGGAGCCGTTTGTCATCGGGGTCTTCTGAGCTGGGAGGGGGAAATTTGGGAGGGGGAAAAGGGAGAGAAATTGGTGGGG